ACTAACAGATATTGATTACTAATGTATCAGCTGGTTAAGTAGCAGTTCAGGTAGTACTTACTACTAAATTTTGGTTCTAGGAGGAAAAAAAACATATATAGGCACATACAGGCATATAACTGCCATAAGTAATAATGCTCTAGTACTCTAAAACTACAGCATTAGAGTACAGCATTGTGAATTGCTACTCAATGCTTTATAGTAGCTCAATTTTAGAAGTAAAATGTGCATTTTGTTAGTGCTTAAAGGGCTCGAGGATGCAGAAACAAACAGCAATATGGCTTTTTGTTTTAGGAGTTGAAAAAATGGCTCCTATGGTTAGGATAAGCAGGGGGTTATTTTTCTTTTTGGAGATGAAAAGGGTGTGATGGTTTCTTTAAGGACTTTTCTAAAATGTAAAATTCCTGCTTGACTCACCACGCACTCAGTTTTCAGTCCTGTCTTGATTATCAAACACACCCTACTTCTTTTCATTGAAGTATCAGTCTGTTCTAGTTGCCTGTGACTTGCCTGTTAGCAAGTACGAAAACAAAACTCGTTTACTGTCCTAGAGTTTGTGCTGGCATGAAGGGAAACTCTAGTAGACAAAGCATTCAGCAACCATCTGGAAGAAAAGAACCTCTCACAGGTTTTAGAGAAAGCTGCATTAATGCCAAACTTTCTCTCGCCAATAACCCCTTGTATAAGAAACAGTGATCAGATTTTGAGGTGTTGTGGAGGTACTGGGTTGGGTACGTAATGAAAACCTGCGGGCTTACTTTCAAGCTGCAAAACTCTTCTCTTGGTGTTTTTGTGAAGCCTTTTCCAGGACACTTCAGCTCCATTAAGACAGAGAATCCCTACCTAAACCTATTTTGGCAGAACTGCCAAGCACAAAACCACAGTGCTTGGAAACACATGCTTTAACTCTTCACTAATCTAACTCCACTGCAGTCCTCTGAGTCTCTACCCTCCAGAATAAAACCTAATTGCAGCCAGTTGTGTTGTTTCCTCCCGCTAGAGGACCCCAGGCAGGAAGATCGGATTTCACTCCCGCTACGGCTTCAGCTCTAACCACAAACACTTCCTACAGCCTTTTGGCCTCAGGAACTGGTGGTGGCTCTGCTGGGGTGTAGCAGGATGGTAACTTGCCAAACCTGATGGCACAGCAGGTCAGGCTTGCTTTCTTCTGTTCTCTGGCAGTTCTTGGAGTAAACACAGTGAGATCCCAGAAAACACTAAGCAGCCTGTTGTTTCCAAATAAGGGGTAAGGACAAACGCTGCAGCTAAGCTTACTCTTTGAACTAGTCTGCTTGCCAGAATTCCTATTCCAGTGCATACTTGGCCCATCTGCCCTAGAAGAAATTCAGCTATGCCTCTCCTTAGGGGCAGACACTGCTCTGATAAGGATGGGAAACTTTTGAGTCATCTTGGACTGTATTATACTCTTATACAGGCGTTGTGCATTTTTTTGTCCTATCTGTCCTGGTTAAAGACATGCCACTCCAGGTCGCGCACTCCTGGTTGCTGCCCACGGCTACAGCTCTGTCCGGGTTTGAAGGAGTCACTGAGAAACCGCAGTGCTACGTGGCAGCGAGGGGCACATTGACTGCCAGTACCATGGCAGGGGCGTGTGGATATGCAGAAGAGAGGGACTCACGTGGCTCGCTTTAATGTGAAATTAAACTTTCCTTGCTCTTCCAGTAGATTCATGGCAGCTAATCCTCAGCCTTTATAAAACAGTCAGGACAAATCTTCAGAAGGTCAGAAGATATCTCTGGCAGCATAAAGGCATACTGTTGCACCCAGATACACTCACTGGTCTATCTGTGAAAGCACCTGATGCGTTAATAGTGTTTAGAGCCTTGATGTTGGCCTCTCTTGCCATAGTAGGTCATGTAGAGAGAAGTGACCTGAAGAGTCAAACTGTCTGAGGGTTTATAAGCGAAATGAAGGCATCATGCACCTAAAGGCTGCAGAGCATGCTACACAAAGCAGTTAAATCAGGATCCCAAAAAGGTCTTGGGCACCTCAAGGAGGACCTCGCAGGAGCTTTGTTCAGAGCCCCAGCCAGCCCTCAGTTCTTACCTAAATATACTATGCATTTCACATCAGTAGGTTTAAAAAAACCAAAAAACAAAAAAACTTACTCTAAAAGTAAAGGCCTGGCCCCTCTCCTCTGAGTGTGCCATAACCACTGCACCATTTTTTGTCAGGGTTGCTCCAGGCCTCTCTTCCCTGCGGGCAGCAGCATGGCTTCAGCGGGAGGAGATCAGCCCTTCTCCAGCACGGCCGGGAGCCTGCCTGCCCCATGGCTGCTCCTCAGAGATACTTCTAGGGCTTGAGCCTCCTCCCATGGCCTATGCCTCGAGGAAGCAGCCACCCCTCAGCCTGCCACCTGCAAAGCCCCAGGGTAGCTTGGCTGTGAGAGGCTGAGCTCTCCTCGCCACCGTCTTCAGGTACCTGCCCACACACCCAGTGAGGCCCCGGGCTCCACAGAGTGGGCAGGAAGGGCCCCAGCTGGCCCAGGGAGCCACCTGCAGCAAGGCAGGCCCAGCCCATGCGAAGCAGTGGCCTGTGAAGGGTTAACTCCAGAGAGTGCTAATTAACACTGCAGGTGCTGCTAATTGTCCCTCCCAGGGCAATAAGAAGCAGCTGTGGGGCCCAGGCCCTGGGCTGTGGATGGTGGACCTGCTGGGAGGATGCAGAGGTTGGATGTGGGTGAGTTACCTGGTTTGCTACCATGAAGGTGCTTTGGTGTTGCTGGGGGCTGGAGGGCTGTCGCATGAGGCTCCCTGCAGTGGTTTGGCCACAAAGGCCTGAGTTTTGGGCTTGTTGGGCCTAAAACACTTCAGTGCCCTGTGTATAGGGTGAACTGCTTGCCTGGGACATGGATGTGGTATGCTGGCCTGCCACAGGCCTCCCTGCGGCCAAGCATCCCCCATCAGGGCTGTGTAATACCATCTGCAGTGTGGGCAGGAGCTCAGGTGTGCTGCTCCCTGCTCATGAGCCCTGGGGGCTTTGTTGCGCTGCTCCTTCCAGAGCGGCCTCTCATGGCTGGGGTGCTCCTGGTGTGACCCTTCCTCAAGAGAACAAGTTGTAGGTGAGCATGGCTTGTGCTGGACTTCATGGCTGATAACAGCCCCCATCTCATGTTACTGCAGGCATTGTCTTGAAGCAAACCATCTGCTCACCCCCTTTGCCATAGCTTGTTCTTATTGTTGTTTATATTTTTGTATTAGTCTTTTTCCTGTGAAACAGCCTGTAGATATGCTTTTGTTTCTCTCTGCCACCACCTACTTCTGATTAGTCTGAAAACTTGCTCTGCTCATCAGCATCAGTTTGTGGGGTTTAGGAGATGATCCAAACACAGTACTCTAATATTAAGACCACCTGTGCTGTGGTATGGCTCATGCTGTCCCTTTGCACACTCTGCCTTGTATAGGCTCCTCTCTGCCATGTTCTCCTCCCTAAGCTGCTGGGGAGCTTCCCTCGAGGCTGGGATTTGCAGTTGGTGGAAAACCTGGACCTTGAAGGAGGGGTGGGAGATGGTCACTTGCTATTTTTAGCATACAGATCTGTAAGATTTGTTATAACTCTTATCTTTGTAAGCTGGCCCCCTGCCTGAGAGAGAGGATAAAAGAGGCAAGCAACCTACTTGCCTTTTTTTGTTGTTTTGTTAGATGTGTGGTGAATCTTTTGCAGTTTATGGAGACCATTATAACTGCTACTGGTAGTCCCTACTGGGTTTGGTTTAAATGCTGGTCTGTCCTGAGTATTAATTCATCCTCATGCCTGATTAAGGTCCTGGAGCAGAGCTGTTGCTGAAAGCTGGAAGGATAGTGTTTTTTCTTTGCTTTTTTGACCAGTCTATAAGTATAGGGAAAACACGAGCTGAGAGCAGGAGACTAGCAGGGGTTGGGAAAGCTATCAAATAACATTATTCACGGCAGGAAGCTCCTGCTGATGCTGAGGAACTCAAAGTGGTTGGCAGCTCCTTGGAGCGCATCCCCCTTCCCATCTGTCTACCTGCCTTCCCCTCCCTGCCCCTCCGCTCAGCTCCCCTTGCGCGGGGGCAGGGGCAGCAGCTCTGCCAGAGTAGCCAGCAAGGGATATCTGACAGTTGCCAGAGCCGAGGAAACTCGTGAACCTACTGAATATGGGGGAAGGATACTGCTAAATATGGTGACTGCAAGAAGGCATGTCAAAAAAGGACTGGACTGTTGTGATAATGGGGAGTGGCTGGAGAGGTGGAGCTGGAAATGCAGATGGGAGGGGGGGGACTTCATTTGTAATAGATGGTCCATCTGCCAGATATTACTTGTCTGGTTATAACATAACTGATCTAGAGAAAGCAGATCTCCGAAACATCGGGTCCCTTCCTCTAGAGAAGAGAAGTTCTTGTAACTAAAGGGCATGCACCTTGGAAACTTTGTCCTAGATTCAAGTTCATTGAATCAAAAGCCATTTCTGCCATTACCTGAGCAGTTAATAAAATCTATTGCCTTATGATGGATTTTTTCTGCAGGCTAGAATTGATCTGTCTTTGTTGTGATTTGTGAGACTTTTTGGGGGGAGGGGGGAAGAAACAAAATATAACCTGTATTTCTGCTGCACAGGATTTCTACTGTGCTGTTCTCCTAAGGCTTGGAAGTAACTAAAACTGCAGTGGTCACTTTTTTGATTTATTGAAAAATAAAACACACCTTATTAACATTTTAATAAAGAGAATCTCTTTGCACTAGTGCTCAGAGCTGCTCTTATTTCTCTCTGTGTAATTCCATTCTCTGAAAGGGAAAATACTATTAAAAGCTGTAAGGCATGATTTGTTAAACTGAAACTAAATGCACAAATACACCAAAGCAAAATGCGTTCTAAGGTGCTGTGTTTGTGAGAGGTGCTTGCCCAATATGTGTGATGCAAAATGGGGATGCTTTGTGAAGAAATCATCCTTGTAAAGCCATTGGTTCTGGTCATCAGACTCTATCCAATGCTTTAGTGATGATGCTGCTGATCTATTTGGGAAGTTGGCTGGCTCTCAAGGCAGAGTCTCTTCTCAAAGGCTGTTTCACAGTGAAAATATGCTCAGTGCAGCCGAGTGCATGAATGAAAAAGCCTCTGGTACCTTCTAGTCTGGCAAAATGCAGCACAAAACTCAACTTACTCTGTCCTTTCTACTGTCCCAGGTAAGAAATGTGTGTGTTTTTTCTTTGCTTTCTTTTATCTTCCTTCTCTGGTGTGTTTGGGTTTGGAAGTATTTGTAATTCAGGTCTGATTTCTTAGTAATTATGCATTGCTTGAATTACTGTTGAAAGATGCAAGATCTCTGCTATAAGCTAGTTGCTAGGAACGTAGAATCTCATAGCTCCCTGCTTTACAATTAAAACAAATTTGCTGTGGGTTATGTAGTATTTTTTTTTTTCTTTTCCCCTCTCAAGGAGGGTGGTTGGGGGAATCTTTCAAGTGTCTCGGCAGCAGCTGCAGCAGCAATATTTTTCTGGCATATCAAATGCTGCAACTTTGATTTGCCTTTTTTCCTCTGTGGCTTTTGCCGGGTAGTAGGCTTATAGGTTGTTATAGGAGGCTCACATTATTTATTGCTTTTTCTTTTTAAAAAAAAAAAAAAGGAGGGGAGGAATGGGGGGGGGGAATAAAATCAGACCTTGCAAAAGGTTCCCGTCCCTGCGCGCTCTCTTGATAGATGTGTAATACTCTGTTAGTGACTTGCTATGTAGCCTTTCTCTTATTAAATGTAATAGATCCCCCTCTGCCAGAAAGCAGAGGAAAAAACAGCCAGCCTTAAAACCACGGAGCTGCTAAAGCTGCTGCTGCTGTCAGTCAAGGGAAGGGACTCGCTGGGCTCGGACTTCTCAATTCCTCCTCGTTGCTCTTTCCCTCCCGCTACTATTATGGGGCTCACTTTTTGAACGCGCCCTGGGAGGTTCGAGGATCCTTTGTTGTTGTCCAGCATAAACGCATCTCCTTTTCTGCCTTAAGAGCCCTGTAAACTCTTGCATTTAGTGACCAGCATCCTGTGCCCTGAGTTAGAGATAAAAGTTAATTCGTCTTTCACTTGGGATTGAGCGCTTTTGTTAACCCTTAGGGGGTTGGTAGGTGTTAGTGCCGAACTAACTTGGGATGCTGAGCCTGTGCGCTTGTGTTCGTGTGACTGCAGTCTCCAGAAAGAATTTAGTCTGCTTTTTCAAAACGGCATGGTAAGGAGAAAATGGTGAGGTTTTGCTATTGGGAGAGCTTTACTGCTGAAGGGAGACATGCCAAGAGCCTGTAAGTAGGAGGCAGCTGGATGAGCTGAGCACATAAAATGCTGCAGATCAAAGCTAGGATGTTTGGGTGCTAGCTCAGCCGGATGAGGAGTGAAAGCATGCCCCTGGATGGCTGAAGTTATGGGGCAATGGGAGATGGTGACTGGAGGCTCATGTGAGTGAGCCCAGAGGTGTGTGGGTGGCTCGGACTTACAGCCCCGCTTCAGGGAGTGTAATAAATGAGATTATGTTGGGGATCCGAGTCCTTGCTTAGCCAGAGTGAGTGAAGCTGCTTGGGGTCACAGGTGCAAGTGCCTGAACACGCCGGTGAAGAATGTGGTTGAGGTGCCAGAGCAGCGTGTGCTGGGGCTGCACGCAGGGTTTCTCGCAGGGCCTCCCCAGCGGCTTGGGCTGAAGCTGGCAGACGGTGCAGGAGGGCTCTCTGGTGGGCTGTGAGCCAGGTGTCCGCCGAGGCCAGCTCCAGCGAGCGGGAATGCTGCTATTCCTGGTGAGGACGGACAGCTTCAGCAGGCTGGGAATGCCTGGAAGGTGCTGGGAGGAGAAGCTGTGAAAGTGGGCTGAGACCCGAGCGTGGGCTGGGGCTGCCAGGACAGGCAGCTGGGTGCAGCGAGTGCCTTGGAGGCAGCCTGCGGCTAGGCCACCCTGGTGCCCTCGACCTCAGGCTTGAAACCTGCCCTCTGCGCTGCGGTTTGGTTGGTTTTTCTCCATGAGTTCAAGTTCTTTTTGCCCGTTCCTTCTAGCACGCTGTACTAAATTAATTGGCTTGAGTTAAGACTTTCTTTAGCAGCCCCTCACTGGAAAAGCAGTGTGTTTCTGACGGTGAAGAACAGATTTCCAAGGCCTATTAAGCCATGTAGCTTCTGTTGTTGTAAAATTGGTAATTACTTTCATTTTTTTCCAGGATCAGGTGTATAGCACCTTGTAAAATTGCAAGGTGTACTTTATTCTTAACTTGCAGCAGTAGTTCAGAGTTTAAGCTCTGACTTGCTGGTTTGAGAGGAGCTTGTAGTGCTTTAATATAGCTCTGTATTGAAGCGTTCAATTTGTGCTCCACCTTCTTCATTAGCCTATGTAGCTTTATTTGGCAATGCCTCTACATGGTGATTTTACACATCCCTTAGTTTAACTTCAGCGTGATATATATCAGCTAATTCATTACGAAATGAATGTGACTTGTACTGAGGAAGGATATACAAATCTGTTTTTTGGGAACGATATGGCTGGATGCTGACATGTTAGGGTATGAATTACAGGTGATGGCATGTCAGGGAAGAAGAAAAGAGAAATATTATATGCTCTTCAGCTTTTCTTTGACACAGCACATGCACAGCTTCCATGTGACAGGAAAAGTAAACAGAAGAATGTGAGAAACAACATATTAAACAAGTGCAGCCATCTGGCAGTGTAGTGGTTGTAACACATTTTGCTAGGATTTTTTCGTAAGTTGTTGTTGTTGTTTTCCCTCTGTCAGCAGTAGCAATAATGGCTCCCATAGTACAGTGCTAGTGGAACTAGCAAAGCTCAATTCCGATAAAATGACTTCTGAACAATAGCAATCCAGTAATGTAATATTTTCTGTGGAAGTAGAGGAAAGGAAGATCTCCGTTTCAAAATAACGATGGCAAAGTTTGCAGTCTAGAAAAAGTCTGAGAAAATTACTGGGCTCAGGAGAACATGAACTGGTAAAAACTAGTCTCCTTTTTACTTAAAAGGTCATTTATAAAACTGGTATATTGCCTTATTTTCTTGGTCTGCATTTAATTTGATTGAGTTTGTTAAATATGGAAAAGCCTCCCTTTGAGGCATTAAAAGGAGGAAGATGTTAATGGGAAGCTCATCACACAAACCCACTTTATGAGCTGCTTTGTTGATGAAGGTTGTATTAAACAGGTGGGTGATAAATGTTTTTTTTTCCCCTCTCCTACAAAGGTTTAATCTACCCTGCTACTGATTGTGCCATTTCCACTGAGGGGAAAATTGAATGTTATTTTAACTGGAGCAGCTGAAAGATGTTTCAAGGAACCCTTTAATTCATAATCGCCTTTAAAACTGCAAAGCATATCTGTAAGATAATCATATCTATATTATATTCATTGATCTAAACTTGACAATAAAAGCTGAGTGTAATCTGGTAGTTCGAGTTGCACAGTTAACTATAAAATATGCAGTTAGTAGTAAATACCTACAGAGTTTTAAAATCAAACAGGGGATTTTCCAACTTTCCCTAAAGGATATTTTCTAAAGTTTATATATAGAAGTATTTATCTGTTCTGAAACAGAAGTTGTTCAAAGGACTGCTTTTCTGTATTAACGCATTTGATGCAGACAGATGAATCTAACAATCTGTGAGTAAAGTGTACAAGTTGAAGAAAAATCATTGTTTGATAGCTCTAATAGCTCAAGTTCCACTGGGTATGACTAAATGGATCAGGAAAAAACTACAGATTTTTTGCAAGTTTGTCGATATAGTGAGCAGAGAATTAGTCCTGGAACAGTTTTCCAAATACATAGCCCACATTGCTGCACTCTTAACTTATCCTTTATTTTTCAAATTTCTCCAGAAGAGGGCTCCATGTGCAGCTTGAAAGTCAACACCAATATGTAAAAAGCAAGAGAAATTTATCAGATTCAACAGCTACTTTGCTGAAATAACATTAAAGGATTATGTTCAAGTTCTCATCAAACATTTCCCTCCTGTATCTTGTAGGTCTTGCTCTATTTAAGATGCTTTATTATTTCAGAAGAAAGAATTCTGCATATCTTGTGCTATATCTGAGCATTTTCAAAAAAAGTTAAACTCCACTGCCAATTATTATGTGGAATTACTTGTATTGATGAGTGTTTTGTGAGCCTGCTAACACTCTTAATCTTGACTGCTTCAGGCCATCTTTTTTTGACTCTGCAGTCAAAAAGACCTTCCTCTCGCATATCCCAGTCAAAAGATGTATCTCCCAAAACACAGAGCTGTTCTAGCAGTCGTGCTATACCATGCTGTTTGTCAAATGCTGCCTTGGAGGGAAGTATGGTCTCTGCATTAGTATGACTCCTGGCAATGACTCTAACCTCTTTAAGATGTGCTTACTCAGGAGCTGACCAGACTCCTTACTGATAAGGAAAGGTGACTTGATACAGTAGAAGAGTGGAAACAGGTCATGCAAATGCTGCTAGAGTTATGGCATTGCAATTAAAACCACTTTGTTTACTACTTGCAACAGCATCCTTCTAGTCAAGAGGTAGCTCAGACGAGGTGTTGGGCCGTGGGTTCTGTTTCTGTTGGCTGGAAACTGAAGAAGTTTATTTTGTCACATGTAATATATTTGTGCTGCTGACCATGGGGGATGCTGACTTGATTCTTGGTGACTTGTTAGCTAAGAAACAAGTATTTCTAAAAGGCATCTTTATAGACTAATGTAACAGGAACCGTTAAACTCTGTGGAAACAATGGCGATGGCTCTTCAGAGAGACGTGAAGCTCTGCCTTTTACTTTCTTCCTATTAATGACTGGGTAAGTAGGCTTCTCCTGTTTTTCCCATATGTAAGGGCAAGCTGGATAGCAGAACTGTTTCAGTTATACTCTTCCTGCATCATAGCTGTAGTCACATTTCTTATCTTCAGCTGCTGGATTGTACCTGTGTGTGAGGATTTTGGCTGAGATTTGAGAGTTCCTAGGCCAGTTTAAGACTTTGGGGGGAAGAGGGAAGGTGAAGCAAAAATGAGGCTAATGGAGTGGTCTGACTAGTTCCAGGGAAAACACTATTCTGCTTTGATAGATACTAGTGCTAGCATATATGGCACTAGTGTTATAGCCGGCAAAGTTTCCTTTGTGTAAGCAAAAGGACCATCAGCACATCTTCACTGGGGAGGAGAGATGGGAAGAGAAGAGGTATTTACTGTAATTAGGA